GCAAGGCTTTTCTGGGGCTCCGGTTTAGTCACATGGAGAGGGGTGGGTCGCGTAGCGATTTTATTCGCCCACGACCTTCGGAAAGGGAATTCCACCAATAATAATGCGCAGATGGAGTGTGGAGGAAGGAACCAGGCTAAACGCACCCTCTTCGTGGGAGTTGCGGACCGACACCCGGCGAAGCTGGAACAACTTTCCGCCCAACCACCCTGACCAATCCAGTTCCTCCATGTGATTACAGCATCGGGATTGAGGGAACGATTTGATGGACGTGCATGGGTTCTTGGGATGCAGAGCATTTCATCTACGAAGTACGCGCACCGCGACGTCTCGGATGATGACAAAGTGTTGTGGGATGGAGCTGGATTTTGATGTAAGATGCAGTCAAATGACCGGTTTTGGGAGCAGAACACAAGTGTCGGGAGACATCACAAACCTCAGTGCTACGAAGGATTGTGCATTCCCCAGAGGCATACAGGCAATGCACAATGCCGTCGAGATATTCGACAAGATGCTTGAGTGCATGAGAAAATGGAGATAACTTCGTCTGTATTGGTCTTCGAACTATCTTCCTACGAAGTGGACACTCTTAATGCTTTGGTTCAAGTCCCCCCCAAGAGAAAAGAACTGGGCCTAGGGTCATCGAGTCGCATCTCTGAATCGCTGTGTACTACAACCAAGCCACCGCTTCGTCGTGGATATTAAAGCGACTCCGTAACAAGAAGGATTGATCATTGGCGTCAACGCCAAGACTCTTTAAGTCCTGGCGTGCTGGTGGTGTGGGACAACAATAATATTCGAGTCCAGAGATCTTACATCGTCCAATTGACAATCGTACCGACCTCCGTTGTGCACTGTGAATCACGGACGTTGACTGCAGTACCCCCTCCTTCTCGTCGCTATCTCGGCCTTTAGTCCATGAATTAAGATACAGCGGGCGCCTTAACATAAATTGTCCGAACACCCTAACTGAGAAACCTCCTCCCATGCGCTCAAAATACTCGAGAAGAATTGGCCACGGCGAAACGGATGGCATTTATGTCACTTATATAGTGTTCAAGCACTAGGCGGACAAACCCACGGTAATGCTAATTTGAAGAAATAGAGAGGCTGTTGACTAGTCTTATTCTAGCGCTCTTGAACCCAGATTCTCTCTCCGCGATGTGCTTCGCGAGTCTTGAAAGGTAATGCAAGAAAATTAATCCGGTGCGAAGCCTCTCGTTCTCGGGGGCATCTTTGCGAAGGAAGCATGATATGAGTAAAGCGACGTCTCATCTAGGATTGAAACTATCCGAAGCGAGAGCCTCTTCAAGGATGCAGCGTCTTCGTCTCCCATTTACCATGAACGTAGTAGTCTCTGTAGAGCATGGTTAAATAGTTAAGGGTACCAATAGTTTAATACCGACCCTCGATGCGTTGATAGGAGGTTGATCAATGCTGTCTCTTTTTTGTCCATCGGCCCAGAGAAGGAAGTCTTCCTTGGGATTAAAGCTACGCGTCATGGTGACATTCTTTGTATTAAACCAACCCAGACCAGCCTTCTGGTCTCCTCGGAAGGAATTTATCTGTTTTAGACATTAAACATCGGATCTTTACAAATTTTCATCAATCTCGGGGATATGAAGCGTTTCTGCAGCCTCCGCCTGTCCGATCTGACAGTTCATACTGCTCTCTTGGTAGCGTTGTGGTGTTTGGAGCAGCACACCATCATCGATGTGCCACATGGTCTTTCGCAAAAATGAAGGGACCCTTCTAGATCCTCTCCCTTTCCTCAGTCGAGATATACTCGACGGATTGATAATTTGATATCAGCAGGCACATATACATGTCAGCCCGTTACTGACATTTCATGCTAGCCTTGCCCTGTAGCGATGTGCAAATTATAAGTCCTTGTTTCTCACTGACTGATATCTGCTCTATGATTGAGGAAGGCAAATTGAAGAATGAGATAGGAGGCCACGGCTGTGATAGGTAGCCGGCAGTAATTAGGGTTTCTTTTTCTTGATGCAGGAAAGCACTTTCGAGTATGCACAGTCGGTGTGAAGTCCTCCTTCGATCAACTACCGACATCGTCAGAATCGCCAGGCTCACCGGCGATACCCTGGCCCACAATCTCTCCGCATTTCTTCAAATTATTTTGCTTTGGTCAAGTCAACTCCCACCCTCCAAAACCGAAAGAGGGGATTTGTGTGGGGTCAGCCAAGGTCAAAGTGTGGAGGTTGTCCCACCAAGACGAGGGTATTTAAGTCGGCATACCTCAATTGACCGTGCTGCTCTTCTTTGGCGTCAGGACCTCATTTGATCCCACCCCCTGATCAAATTGATTTTGTTTGGTAACTGAATACTCTGTCAATGCGCTACTTGTGCGAGGAAGACACGCCACAGGACCCGCCCACTGCGCTATTGATCGAATACTCCGAGGAAGATTTCAGTCATGGTACATTCAAGAGATTGACCTAATTGAAGTCTAGATGTGGATGTCCATTGATAGATCTCATCAGTGATACTTCCAAGATGGACTCTGGTAGTGTAGCAAGCCTCAGTCAGTAGGTTGAAGGAGAACCAAGACTGCTCTGCCTGGCTAATAGAGCCCACCGTCAATGTCTCCTCCTCCGCCACCTTCCTGACCAACAATATAGAACCCCTGCCCTACAATGTATGGCCACCAATGACTGCAACCTTTTCCGCTAACCCTCCATGAAGTAATTCTAAGTAATGCGGAGCCTGGCGGTCATTGACCTTCTCTCTTCTGTTTCGTGCGGACAAAAGTCCTTGATCCATCGAACTAACTAGCGCTGGTGGAGAAATCCAACCGTACCAAAAGGAATGGCAGGAGAGAATGCGACGCTACTCTATTGTAGTATAAGTGTGTACGAAGCAGGGAGTATGAATACCAAAAGAATCATCGGTGATTCCTTTTCTCCTTCATTTTTTTTTCCCCCTCGTACGAACCCAAATCGACTGTCCAGGTAATAAGCAAGCCATTACTCTGTATTGTTTTCGTTTCGAGCCTTAGTCCTATTCGCCGCCCTCGTACATACTCTCTTTGCGATCCCGTGTTATCCCTCCGTCTGGGGCTCCTCGGCGTCTTATATATTGCGTTTGCAATTTAAATGCGAGAGGCGATATTGCGTTGATGAGAAAGGGGAGAGTACATCTCCCAATCTTCGACCAACCGAGTCTGCTGTCTGCTTCGACTTTGCTCCGATACTGAGCGAGCTGCCCTTTCGCGTTCGGAAGCATCAAACCGTGTGAGGAATTGCGGCCTATTACCGAATCGATCCGGAAAGGCCTTACGACTTCTCTTTGAAGTTTGAGCCCTCTGCTCACCTATCACCATTGCGAAGACGGGAGGGCCACCCACATTCACCAGTTCTCTGGTCCTGTTAATTGAAACAGGACACACACTCTCAAACTACGATCGAGGTCGGCGTCGCCATCTAGATTTCGCTCTTCTGAAAGGGACTTAGCGTGCCACAAGGAGGAGCGAATCTCGACGAGCAGACCATACTGCAATAATAACAACCACGCATCATTCGAGACGTTACCCCCCTCTATTTTGTCCAGCTGAGACGAACGGTATTATAGACTACAGGAACGACTACATCACCAACGAGCGGCGGCCGCTGACCTGACGACAAGACGACAGCTTACCCCAACCCAAGAAGCTCACCACCTGAACTTGTGTCCGGTCTCAGTTGTGCAGACCCGAACCAGATCTCGTGGCTTACACCATTTCGTGAGCATTGGCTCTACACCTGATCCCCGCAAACCCATTTTCCAGGTGAGCGATCAACTGGAAGGAGGGGTTCGGAATAAAGCGTGATACACATCTCCGAGAAAAAAAAGAAAAAAAAAAAAAGGATTCTCGAGGTCCTCATGGAAGTTGCTCTGGTAGGTTCCTGCCGTTGATTCCTCCCTCTTGCATTTCGTACCTTAATGTCGAGTCGCACATGCTCATAACTCGCTTCGCTCTGCATGGCTCCGGGATCGACTGGGTGGTCCGGAAAGAGCGATACCCACTTCCTACTCTCTCTTAAGACCCCAGGTGCTATTGACTGGGGACCTTCCTTCCCTTCTCTCCCTCAGTCTGTGGGCACACACCTCGCACACCCCTCCTGATGCCCACCACTTCCAACTTTCTCACCCCCTCCCCCCTCCGCCGAGACCCCTGTCCCTTCCTTCGTTGTCACCCCCGGTCGAATTTCCCGCTCTCCTTTAGACACCCCCCTTCACCCCGACATACGCCCCCCTTGACCTTGACCTGAATTCACTCCAACCCCGCCATCCCATCTACAGGACACAACCACAGACGACAGACATTGATCAATATCGAGCATGCTGGCCGTACCACAGTTCAGAAGTTCTGGCGGGCGTTGGAGGAGCAGTGGTTCCGTGCCCGACAGCGCAGATCTCCACCGCACATTCACACACATCAATCAATACACACACATACACACACGCGCCACTTACTGTTTGGTTCCTGTTAATGCTTCCTCTATACACTCGTTCCGTCATGCTTAATGCTCACCTTAAATCCATCTGCTCTGCTTTTCCCCACAAAATGACACATCGGTCCGTTCAAGTACCGCATACTGGGTCCTTGCAGCTGTGTATTATGTGGAGCCAGCTCTCCGTCCATCCCGCCCTCGCCAAGTGGTGAAATCAAAGATAAAGATACAAAGGTCCCCTCTACTCCTCATCCGTCTCTATCATCTTGACGTTCGACCCATTCTCTTCTCTCCTCTTATCACCTTGACAAAAGAAACAGACCTCAGGCGTCGCTGACTCCATACTTCAACCAACTTCTTGCATTCGTTCGAAGTCAGCCTCCGTCTTTCACAAGTGCTTTCCCGCTTCTTATAGCCACCACCTTCGCTTCAAACACTCTCCATATATCTTCCTATTATTCACGCCAAGTTCTTTCCCCCAAGCTAACGAGAAAATCGGTCAAGCTGTCGCCCCAATCTAATATACCGATCTTCCCCTCCCCAGACAACATGTTGTCTAATCCACTTCATCGGTTTTCACCGTACCACACCATACCGTCCACCACCCTCCTCTCGAACGGTCATGTTCCCAACCCTCACCTCCATTCGACTGGTCTCGAAGGGATCCCGCAGGGTCCTCACTATGCTCTTCAGCAACTCCAGCAGCATGTTGGCGTAAACCCTCACATGGCGAGACCAGGCCCTCAACCAAAGCATAGGCAACATCCCTATGGACCTACCGCGAGGGCTACTGGGGCCGCTGGTCCCATCAGGAGGAGGATTAGCCGAGCTTGCGACCAATGCAACCAGCTAAGGACAAAGTGCGATGGCCAACACCCATGTGCTCACTGTATCGGTAAGTTAAAACCCTGCTGCGTATATTTTTGAGGTTGTGACCGAGCACTCGACCTATCCTAATTCGGACAATGCGGGACTGGCGTAGCTAAGCTAACATGATTACTACCTCACAGAGTTTGGTCTCGGCTGCGAATACATTCGGGAACGCAAGAAGCGAGGTAAAGCTTCGCGCAAGGACCTTGCTCAGCAAGCAGCAGCACAGGCCGCCGCCGCCGCCCAAAATGGCCAAAAAGGTCAGGGTGGTGACAACAGCCCGGCCAACGAACAGCGGCCAAACAGCCCGCCTAACGTTAAGAACATGCAGCAGGTTTCCAATGACGGGCAGGTTAACCCTGAGCAGAAAGTTATGAACGATCTCGCCGACGACACTATGCAGCGCAACCAGAGGACGAGTAGTCTCGACACCATTGGTGATATGCATGGCCAACCGCATATGACGGGCCATCCTGGAATGGAGCGAGACCACCTCGAGAATCCCGCCGGGCTCGACTTGAACGGCTACGGCAATGTGCACACTGGCTATGAGAGACAGGGAATGGGCCACATGATGAGCGGCCCTAGCCACACGCCATATGGACCCAGCCAAGGGAACATGTCGAGCTACCCTGACCTTCCGTACGGCATTCAGACGCAAAGCCCCACGAACTTCTCGAGCAATGCGGCTTTCCGCATGGGCGGCAATCCTCTTGGCGGCTACCCGATGGGAGGCGAGGCTACTTCTCCTGGATGGAATCTTGCCATGTCCTCTCCTCCAGCGCAGTTCCAGACCCACATGCATCAGCAGCCTAGCTTCACTCAACAGTCTCACCTTCGGTACCCCGTCCTGGAGCCCCTCATGCCCCATCTCGGAAACATTATCCCAGCATCCCTTGCTTGCGACTTGATCGATCTCTACTTCTCCTCGTCATCCTCGGCTCAAATCCACCCAATGTCTCCTTACGTTCTCGGCTATGTGTTCCGCAAGCGCTCGTTCCTCCACCCCAGCAAGCCTAGACAGTGCCAGCCCGCTCTTCTCGCTAGCATGCTTTGGGTTGCTGCTCAGACTAGCGATGCCCAGTTCCTTACCAGTGTTCCATCCGCCCGTGGCAAGATCTGCCAGAAGCTCCTTGAACTCACCGTCAGCCTCCTCAAGCCTCTGATTCACACTCCATCGGGAGACGTCTCCCCAGTATCTAGCCCTGTTATCGACGGCGTTGCGCTGGGTGGCCTTGGCGTTGCCCTTCCAGGCTCCATCAGCATGGATGCTCTCACCGGAGAATCCGGGGCTTTCGGCGCGGCGGGGACCCTCGACGACGTCATCACCTACATTCACCTGGCTACCGTTGTCTCGGCAAGCGAGTACAAGGGTGCTAGTCTTAGGTGGTGGAATGCAGCTTGGTCGCTTGCTCGTGAGCTCAAGCTTGGCCGTGAGCTTCCTCCTTCGCAGAATCCTATGAACCAGAATGGAGAGAATGTGAATGAGATCGACGCCGATGGCGAAGCCGATGAGGATATCAATATTCCAGGAGTTATCTCGGAGGAGGAAAGGGAGGAGCGACGCCGTATCTGGTGGCTCGTATACATCGTCGATCGCCACCTTGCTCTTTGCTACAACAGGCCGCTATTCCTCCTCGATATCGAGTGCGAGGGGCTCATGCAACCCATGGATGAGACATCTTGGCAGAATGGTGAATTCCGAGCGTACGCCAACAGCAATACCGACCCGAATGTGCTCAATTCGGGAGCGGAAAATGTGGTCCAGATGTCCCGTATTCGAGGACCTCATTTCGAATGCACCGGACACAGCATCTTCGGCTACTTCCTCCCCTTAATGACCATCCTTGGTGAGATCGTTGACCTCCATCACGCGCGCAACCACCCCCGCTTTGGTGTCGGTTTCCGTTCCGCTCGAGAGTGGGATGATCAGGCGGCCGAGATTGCCCGACATCTCGAGGCATATGAACGGAGCCTAAAACGATTCGAGCAACAATATCTCCGAACCGGCAATAATGGCGAGGAGAAGATTGAGGTGGGAAACAAAGAGAACAACGGCGAGCACACTGGTAACGTGGCAGAAGTGGTGGGATCCCCATCGGGCCACTCAGTACACACCAACTCTTCCAACCGCATGACTGAAGGTGATATTCAGACGCGGATTGTCGTTGCGTACGGTACTCACGTCATGCATGTCCTCCACATTCTCCTCACTGGAAAATGGGACCCGATCAACCTCCTCGACGATAATGATTTGTGGATCTCGTCTCAAGGATTTATCAATGCCACTGGCCACGCGGTCTCGGCCGCAGAAGCCATTAGCAACATCCTCGAATACGACCCTGGTTTGGAGTTCATGCCTTTCTTCTTCGGTATTTATCTCCTCCAAGGTTCTTTCCTCCTCCTCCTTATTGCCGACAAGCTGCAGCTTGAGGCTTCTCCCAGCGTCGTCAAGGCGTGCGAGACCATCATTCGAGCCCACGAAGCTTGCGTGGTAACACTCAATACCGAGTACCAGCGCAACTTTAGCAGGGTCATGCGCAGCGCTCTTGCCCAGGTACGTGGCCGCGTGCCAGAGGACCTTGGCGAACAACACCAGCGCCGGCGCGAACTCCTTTCTTTGTATCGATGGACTGGGGATGGTACCGGTCTAGCCCTTTAATGTTTTGTCTTATCTTGGGCCTCATTTATTTTTATGGTTGATACCTTTTTATTACATATATCCAAGATCGCAACTGTACGGGAATGGTATTATCAGGAGGAGTTTGATTTTTTTTGTTCTTCCCTTTGGGCCGGGTCAAACGGACTGTGATGGCGCATCGGGAGATGAGGATTATTTTACGAGGGCCTTTCATTTGATTCTTACCTCTCAGCATATTATTTTATATTATTTTATTTTATTTTCCTTTTTCTCTTTTCTTCTTGTTTTATTTTGCCGCTTTTTGGCGTTTCTTCTTTATTCGTTCGGATCTTCTCTTCTCCGCACAATGTCTCAAAAAGCTGGGTAGTTAATGTTGATATGGTTATTTTTTATTACCCTACTTCCTCAAGTTTAGGCTTCTACCGCCTCGAGAGTTAATGGAGTACTACGATGTTGAAAATATCGGAACACTGGTTGTGTTGTTCTCATGAAGGCTTCTGGGAAATGTCGATCTAGTCGAGAGATGGCGAACCTGTCGGCGCCTGGTCGAATCTGCCGAGATAGATTGAATAAACATAGGCCTCTTCCTGAACGTATCTTCTCCTCTTACCCGGCTTCCTCCATGGATTCCTGAGAGGGCTATGAATTTTAGAAGAGGAGATGGGAACTGTGAGAATTGGGAGTATGTATATACGACGATGCTAATGTACATAATGTTGCTCTCGAACTAAACACCGTTCATGACAAAGCTTGGAAACCCGTGATATCAATAACCGCCCGCCCCTTTCCCTCCATAAACGCCCATGACAACAAATGTAGCAATTCAGTCCTACAATTTGGTTTTTCTTTTCCTTTTCCTCTCTTTTCCACGACTACGACTTCCGGAACATATAAGCCACTTTTTTCCCCCCGGTCTAATCCAAACCTGATAACCACGCCGACCCATTCAAAGCAGCCAGAGCATCAAACGACGCCCCAAACGACGCATCATCCATTCCCAACCTCCCCGCCCCAGTCCTAAAGCTAAACCCCTGCTGCGACGCCTGCTGCTGCTGCTGCTGCTGCGACTGTTGCAGGTGATCCGCCGCCAAGATGGGCGATTGACCCTGCGACATGGCCTGGCTAGCAACGGCGGCGGCGGCGGCAGCCCCCGAGGTAGTGGGAGTAGATCCCATGGCTGCAGCTGGCGTGCCGCCGACCTGCATGTCCCACGATTCGAAGTTCTGCTGCCATCGCACGCCGTCGTTGAGGTACCAGTTTTGCCCGTCGATGCCTTGCTCTTGGAAGATGTTGCTGGGTGAGACTTGTCGGGTGCCCGAGCGGCTGGTTTGTGCGGACGTGAGGCCGCTCCCGCGCGGCATGGGGGAGAAGCCTGGGTGGGCGGGGTAGTTAGGGAGGGTCGGAGTGGTGCGGAGGGAGGCCCAGTCGTTTGTTCCTGGGAGGGGTTCCTGGCCAGCGATGGAGAGGGCGGCCGAGATTTGCTGCTGGGTTACGGGGATCGTGAGCGCGGGGTTGGATGTTGGGGCGGTGGTGTTGGCGTTCGCGGTGGCAGCTAGGGAGGAAGCTGCCGTTTGGGCTAGCAGGCGTTCGTTGACTTGGATCTGCTGCTCGAACGAGAGCATGCTTGCGAATTGGTTCGTCTTCGCGGCGGCAGTGATTCCCATCGAGGCATATTCCGCCGCCGAAGGGGAGTCGGCATGTAAAAGCAACCCGGCACCGCTCGAGGGCGAGGGTACCTCCGAGGTGCTAAACGTCCCATACTTCTCATCGGTTCGCTGCAGGACGGACCGCGCTTCGTCGGGCAGCTCGCAGTTCCACTTCCTCGAGAGCACGCTGAGGATGCCCAGTGTCCTGCGGGCGCAGAGCCAGTCCTCGGCGATCTCCTCGAGGTGCTTGACGCCGTGGATGATGTCCCGTTTCGCCGTCTTGTCGGGCAGGTTGAGGAGGTGAATGGTGCAGGCGCTGTGGATGATGTACACGGCGATGTTGCAGAGCTGGCGGAGGTTCCAGTTCTTCTTGTAGAGACGGATGAGCTTGGAGATGGCCACGGCGTTGGCGGTGCAGATGCGCCGAGGGGAGACGTGCGCAGGGAGCGGGGATGCGGCGGGGGTGTACTTGAGGAAAGGGCGGAAGAGGTGAATATACTGGAGGTGGAAGAACATGCTAGAGGAGGAATGTTAGCGAGCGAAGAAATGAAGAAGAATAGGAAAAATAAGGTCAAGAAAATAGACGGAGAAGGGAGCACGATTAAAAGGAAAGAGGAAAGGAAGTTTTTTTTTTTTTTTTTTTGGGGGGGGGGGGGGGGGGAAAGCGAGAAAAAAGAAAAGAAAAAAAGAACAAAAAGCTCGCTCGGGGCTCGCTCCCAGGATCGAATCCTGGTCGCTTGCCGCGAGCTACGAAAACTGCTGTTTTCTAACCTTCTGAGCGCTCCAATGACCACTTGGCCACTGGTCGTAGTGTCACCACTACTTGAGCTGCTCGGTTGAAAGTTGTTTCCATGGACTCATATATAAAGCTATTACAAACTCTCAGGGGGAGAAAGGAGAGAAGGAGCGAGCAGAAGGGAGTTCTCGCTCCTTCCTTTGGATAGCCCGAGGACTTGCGCAACCTCGGCCACCTTTACCTTTACCTTTACCTTTACCTTTACCTTTACCAGCTAGCAGTTGACTAAGGAAAAGTATTGAGAAACTTACTGGGTGAGGATCACGTTCGGTAGTTGCCCATCCTTGGGCTCAAACTCCTTGGGAAGCTCCTTTCGCCACTCTTCTAACCTACGATGAAGTTCACTAAGCTTCTTGAGCTCGGCCGACCTCCCGCTCGACTTGCCAATGTGCGTAGGGTGGTAGAAGAAAATGAGCAAGTCGCTGCTAATCTCGCACAACTTGGACAGCTCTAGACCGATGGCCCTAGTCCTAGCCGGTTGCTTCGAGGTCTGATCGAAGCCGTTATCGGTATAAGGCGACCAGGATTCGGCATCCTCGTCGGGGAAGACGTCATACTTCGGAACGCTGTACGAATTTTGAGGAATTTGAGGTAACCGGCCTAGGTAGTTAGACCAGCATTTGTCGAAGAGGAAACATCCCCAGAATGTTATCCTCCGGGCATCGATCTCGTGCTCGCTCATCCGATCTCTCTCCGAACCCATGGCGCCGGCGTCAAAGTTCAGGCCGATGTCGTGCGCCATGCGGAAACTCATGCCGCTGTAAACCCAGCCCTTGGCCTCCCTGCCGCAGCCCGCCTCGCGGACCGACATGAGGGCCAGAGCTTGGACGGTGGTGAGCCGAGGTTTTTCGTACTCGTCGTTCTCCACAAACAACCTCTTGGCTTCGGCGAAGAAGTGATCGCCCTTGGTACGACTGTCTCCCGACACAGCGTAGGCTCCCGGCACCGAGGTGAAGTGGCACCCAAGGGCCAGAATGGCATTCACTAGGAGAGAGGAGCAGTAAACCGGATTCGCATGCTTGCCCCTGAAAAAGTCTTGGTAGAATAGCCTCTTTGATAACGTGGCGAAGTAAGTATAGTGCCAGTTGAAGTACATGTTGACGAGGTGGATGATGAGTTGAGGATCCTTCGTTACGGTCGTCCAGCTCGTGATAGGATCCTCACCGGAGTGAGATGCGGCGGTGCTCGGCTCAGGGTCTACGGTTGAGGGTTCGCCGAGATATATCAAATGCGACGTCCCGCCAATGAAGCGGACAAGTCCATTCTCTAGGCGAAGCTCTCCCATTTTCCGCGCGAGATCGCGCTCGCCGCCAACAGTTACCTCGGCGGGCTGGTCCTCTTCGCCAGTCTCCGGCTGATCGGGTTCGGGGGCACTGAGACTCTGGTGACTCAAAATAGCTTCGGCGACAGCGTCAAGGCTATTCGTGGTACGGATCCGGTGTACCAAGTCATGGACTTCGTCCTCGGGCGAGTTGATGATCGCATCCATCAGGACGTGCAGGGTTGAGTTCCGGGCTTTCACTATGCCGGCCTTCTCCCTGTAAACGCCCTTGCGACGGTGGTCTGAGTTGGGGTCGTAGACACACTCGGTCCCGTAGACGCTAGCGCAGGCGGCGCAGCTGGGCAGGGCTCCATCGCATTTTGATTTCCTCCTCCGACAAGCAATGCAGGCCGTGCTCACACACCGGCGCTTCTGGGCGGTGGGATCCGTATTCCGGCGTCCCTTCTTCTTGCCGGAGGATGGGCCAGGCTTGCTGCTCGAGGCAGCCGGTGGGGTAGGGTCTGGGTCCATCTCACGAGGGATATCAGCCTAGGTAGAGGTCCCAAAAGGCCGACAGCGAGGGGGAAATGGGTGTTACAAGAAGAAGAAGAAGGAAACGAGCAAACGTATGATATGTGGAGGAAGCCCAAAATAAGGCGGCAGTATATCAATGGGGTGAGAGAAGGGGGTTTTAAGACATCGGGGTGCGATAAGACAGGGTATACAATGGATGTTAGAGCACGGGATCCGAGCAAGTCGCGAGAATGCAAATGCACGGCAGTGGCGGAAATAGAGCTTGAAGGCTGGAGTGAGGCCGATAGGAGCAATCAGCGGGTTCCTCGTTCATGACCCGCGGCGTCTCTTCCCAGCGTAACGGGCGACAACACCGGGGGATATCGCTCCTCAGCACACAAGTGACGATACGATTAGGTTCGTGTCAGAGTAAATAGGCTTAGCCCCTGGTTATGGAACGCTCAATCCGACGGGGGCTTCACCGAGCGATTAATTTTTTTCCGAAAAAAAAAAAAAAAGAAATAGTGGCGACAAGGCGCGACGTAGCGGAGGAGCTACAGCAGGAAAGTAGCTCGTAGTGTAGTTCCAGTAGGATGGTACCTCCGAGTCGGGTGGTGAGTTCGAGCACGCAATCCAGGGTCGGGTTCCGAAGATAAGGGCTTGGATAGGAAGCAATTGGAAATGCAAAAAGCAAGAGACTCATGCAGGCCGAACCATGGAGTGGGAGGGGCGTAGTAGGGGTACGGCACTCTGAATAGGTCGGGCGATGAATTGATGGCGAGGACCGAATGGGTGTGAGTGGGTGACAGTGACAAGACAAGTAGCCTGGCTTGAGGTCCTGAGTCTTACTCAATGCTGGCAGGCGGTTGGAGCGTTAAGGGAGTGGAGTGGGGGTATGGAAGGTCTGAAGGTTTGAGGCTATGGAGAATCAATTGATGAGGGGGCGAGGCTCTTGGGAGTCCGCCCGAATGTGCTGAGATGGATGGAATATGAACCGATGAACAAACGGAGCTGGGCCGAGTTGAGGTTCAAGGGGCGAGTTCCCCGCATTCGCATGAGTATTTCAAAAAGGAACTTGAAGTCGGATCGAAATATATGACTCTCCTTCGTTGACTCTTAAGAAGTGGAGTGTAGTATAAATCTCAAATCCGGGGCTTGTGGATCACTCAACTGCTGCTGGCGTGAAATGAGCGCAGGTGTTGGGGTTTGAGCCGTTTGGGGGGCACGAGGCGAAAGGCAGATGCAACATGAACTGCGGTTGCCAGCGGAAACTGAACATTGAACTCTGAAAGTCTGAACCCACCGCCGCTAAAGATGAATAAACTCAGTTGATCCCTGCGACTTGACCTCATTCGATCCAATGCAATTCGATCAAACGCTCGACTGCACTGAAGCACGTCCAAAGTACCTGGAAATCAGGGTCACAATTCCAATTCCAATTACGAACGAATCGGTCGAATCCAGCAAATGGAGCGACTTTCCTTCTGAATGATTTGGAAGCAAATGCCGAGACTCCTCCGTCGGGGATAAGTATCGCCACTGCGACATGTGTATGTTGTGGTACCTCAATCACCGTCGAGGTACGCCGAGTCCCCCGTGGAGTACCCCGAACACCGTCTCCTTTGTCCCTAAAACTAGCGGGATAGTATAGTGCACTGCAAGAAGTACGTACTGCGTACCGCTACTTACTCCATGCTACTCACTCCATGCTACTCACTCCATGCTACTCCATGCAAAGTACTACCCACGGACATCAACCCGAACCTGGACCTGGGGAAGAAGTCAATGCAGCCTGGCTTTGAGGCAAAATCAGATTGATTTCCAATCACAACTTCCTGGTTACGAAAACGAACCATCCAGTTCACGGCGCTCGTACTCGCCTCGTTGGTTCGCCGACGTCACGTGCATTTGAATTTGAATTTCAACTACGAAGTACTCAGTGTCTGCAATATCCCCCCCGATGCTCTCCGGTCTATGGTCTAGCGAGGTCAAGGATTAATTACATCGATCTCGTCGTTGCTTCTCTCAAGCACCAAGTTGGAACTATCCGTGTCCTGGTGATGGGATTGTGTTTCCTTCACATACCCGTGCTGTACCACTTACCCCAGATCCGTCTGTCTCCGTTTGCCGGCATTCTGGGGGAGTGGCTAAACCTTATTGTGACGCAGGCTATGAGCAAGGCCAGTGAATTAATCTACACCTACTTCGTACGAGGTGGTTAAAGAGGGGTTGAGCTGGATCATTATGAGTGAACTTCATTTACATCAGTCACGTGGAGTTCCTGGCGAGCTGTGATGCTAGCCTTGGCCTTGGGGACTTGGGGAGTAGTCTCTCTCCGGAACTTGGCTACGGCGTCTTCCTTCTTTCCCCAAGACGAGACGACAAAGACCGCCTCGGATTGACGATGGATGTTTTCCGCCGTCCCGACAAGGCGGGACAGGACGATGAAGATTCGCTCGTGTAACCAGCAGCCCTATGCCCTACCTGGCCTTTCCCCCCTCCTCGCCAAAAAAAAATACCAGTTACTGTTTGAACAAGCAGCTCTATTAATAGCGATTGGTGGTTGCTGAATCAAGCACACCAACAGCTTCGGGCTTAACGCAATCTTCTGGTCTGTGATCTGGCCCTTTTTGCCTTCAGAGTTCGGAGCCGGAAGTCTAGCGGGCCGTTGTTGTAAATTCCGGCCGAGAATCTCTCATCCGATCGACCCATGTTCCCCTCCCCCCTCGTAGTCGAGTCTTTGTGGGAATACACCGCCCTGTACAATGTCCCACTCTCTCGGAAACGGCCCCGATGCGCAGCTGGCGTGCCATGTCATACCTTTGGGTTTGTGCCAGGATACACAAATACCTCAATGGCACTTTTCTCATGTGGGTGGGAGGGAGTGATTGGTAGGATGTACTAGTAGATTGGCGTCGGTGTGAATCCGTCGTTTCCAACGAAGCAGAAAATGCCCACGATACCGCAACAGGGCAGTATCCGTTCCTCCGATTGTTCTAGTCAGTCTATTTCCAACCTAGCCTAGCATTAGAGAATGGTCACGCACCAAATACAGTTTCCAGGACTGGCTACGGCTGATTTAGAGCCCATCTCCTTCTGGGTTATGCTCTCCGAGATTTCCCCTTCCTCTCACCCCCTCCTCGGACGGATCAAGCCTTTCGTCCTTGTTTGAGACCATCGCGGCTCACGCAGCTCTTGGCCGTCTAGTGAACCCTTTTACGAGGGCTGCCTCGACCCCCGACCCTTCAATTTCCAAACCTACCAACCAACCTGGCTCTCTCCCACCCAGCTCGACAACAGGGAATGTTAAAAGCCTAGCGTGTGGGTCCCTCGTCCTCGGGCTCCTAAAACAAGCGAACCTCACCATGCTTGTCGTCGACATTGACGTAAAGGACCCTTTACTCAACAGCATACATGGATTAACAGGATATGGCCCAACCAGCATCTATGCACAGCCATGTAACTTCACACAATTTGAAGGCATATACAAAATGTAGACCGTGAATCATGGATCATTATTCATTGATCAGTCCTGCTACCTCGATGACCATTTCCTTATGCTTCCCGCTCTCATCTGCCGAAAATCAACATTCTTCCCAAAGGTTCGCATTCGATGTGTTAACTTTGCCCCTTTTTGCCGCACGATTATAAAAATGTATCGTGAAAAAAAGAAGGAAAAAAGAAAGAGAAGAAGGAAACGAAAAAAGGTAGAAGAAGAAGGAGGAAGAAGAAAGAAGTAAACACCCAACGGCAATATCAAGTCTATTGTACAAATAACTCCCGCCTCACTATCACTAAACGGGGGTGACGGTTGAGAGGGAGGAGGGATGTTGGGATGTTGACGAAAGAAATTAAGAAAAGAAAAACGCCGAGTGTCCTCGAAACCGCGAGGCCAAAAACCGTAGAAAACGGTATCGAATCGAAGTGATCTATCACTCTATTCGGGATCCTCCTTTTCACATGAATAGAGTCCATTTCGGAACCGTGGCATGCCGTGCCATGCCATGCCATCGAGCCATTGACCGCAAAATCCGCCATTGACGGTAAACCCCGAGAATGACAATGGAATCTTTTCGGCCCAACCTAGGGACCACAGGGTTGCTCCTCCGAGCACCAAGCTCAGAAATAGAGAATCAAGAAAAACAATAATACTACCCCTGCGGGAAAAGAGGGGGCCATACCCAGGCGCGCTGAGATGCGTAGTGGAGTACGGCGATCAGATACCTACCTCCTTCCAAAGTGGTCCCGGAACCAGCTAAAGCGGCTGCCACTCTCACGTTGGTTGTCCTGGTCTGAGGGGGCTGACCGTCTGCTGTTCGTTGACGGACTCCTAGTTCTTGTCCTGGATCCAGCGTCGGCGGTATTGGGAGGGGACATCGAGCTTCGTCGAGATCCAACATTAGGCCAGCGCTGGTCGCGGTCTGCGCTTGTGCCGGTCGTAGTTCGACGTAAGGTGTCACGGAGGTTTAAGTTCGTGCCAACAGCGGACCTTCGTCCGCTGGGTGGATCGAGGAATGCCGTCCAGCCAAACGCCGCCGGCCTGCCCCGAGGGTCCTGGGCCCGGGACTGAGAATCTTGCCTCTGCTGTAGTCCGGGTAGCCCACCTCCGAGTCCGAATCCTAGTGGATTAGTAGGGTTACGGTTGCTAGTGTTGGAATTATCGTTGTTGTTGTTGGCGCTGTTGTTGCTGCGGCTGCCGTTGTTTGGCTCGATCGACGATCGGCAAATGGGGCACGTATTGTGCTCCCTTAGCCACATGACTACGCAAGCCTCGTGGAACCAATGCTTGCAGGGCAGATACACCACTTCCTCGGCAATCTTGATCTCGTCAATACAGACAGTGCACTCGACACTACCACCGACGCCGGCAAGCATGTCAGAGTCCATCTTTTTCCTCTCGAGGTTAGCCAACGCGCCTTCGGAGGCGGGAGGCGCCGCATTCGATTGGGGATTACTCTCCATCAGGTTCGAGATAATCCGATCCAGCGCCTCTTGTGTATAAACGGCATCGCCGTGTCGGGCATTGGCAGGGTCGACGAGCAGGCCGAGAAGATTTTGGAGGCTGATGAGAAGTTCCGAGGCAGGGTCTCGAAGATTTCCCTCGCCACCAGCACCAGCACTGCCCGCGCCATCAGCACCACCAGCACCACCGGTAGCCCGCTCACCATCTGCACCCTCGCGACCAGGGGGAGGTGGCGGGGGAGGCCGAGGTACCATGCCTCCCAGCATAGTTCTAAAAGCTCTAATACTGTCGTTAGCAAACAGAATTCCATCGTAAAAAGTGGACAACTGTTCAAAGAATGTTGGTCTGGTCGGTGGTTTAACATACCGGTCAAAGGCGGGAACATACTGGTCAAAGGCGGCAGTATCGTCACCGCCGCCACCACCATTCCTTCGAGGGCCGAGGTGGATAGGACCCGACGTTATCGTGACACTCGTGGTGTGCCTGCCGTTACCGCTCGTAAAAGTTGTGCGCCTCACACTTCCACCGCCCAGTGTGAAAGTTTCGCGATTCTGAGTTTGCATTCCGGGGAGGATTCGACCGACCCCAAAGCTACCGGCCATGTCCAAAAACCTACGTAAAGTCGCCGCTTCACTCTCAGCAAGTTCCGGATCGTGAGCATCTCGATCTTCAGTGCTCGGCCAAGCGTCGCGCCGGTGGTCAGCAGGCGGCTCCGGCCAACCCGGTCGATTGAAGAAGAAACCCGCTGGGTGAGCAGGATGAATATGCTCCTCGATATCGGCCTCCTCAGGGTCCGAATCTTCAGAATGGCGGCGGGGTTGGAGGTCTGGGCTGGAGGCGGTGAGGTCGTCGTCATAGTCCATATCCCGAGGATCGTTATCCGGATTGACCTAGAGAGAAAACGCAGACAATTAGCATTATCATATTCTCGCATGGAAGGGCTGCCACACTGCACCGGAGCTCCAGGAGAATCTGTGGGGCAGCTGAGTTTGAGACTTACGATTTCAATTATGTCCCCTCCACAGGCCGGGCACAAGTCTTGGCCACGCTCGTCACCGTACCACTCATTATGGCAGGCGTGGCAAAAGACGACAGGACGACCGGTGGTGGCGTCCAGATGACCCAACCTGCTGCTGCTCGTACTTGAAGCCATCCTGGCGGCCTGGCTTCGCTGATGGGCCGCCAAGGCTGTGAGACCAAGGCCTGCGACAAGGCCGGCGAGTCTAAACGCTCTAGAAGCCAGCCTGGAAATTGTTGCCGTTGGACTTTATTCCTTCGCTGGCTGTGTGGGGTTAAGGAATGTGGTATAGCGAAGTGGGGGATGGGATGGTGAGCTTTGCCCGTCTTGGGAAACTGAAGGTCGCTTTTGGGGACTGTTGGGGGTGCGATGCCGGTTTTGAGTCAATGATTTTTATTTGTTCGCCGCGACCGCTGCGACAGTGGGGTGCGCGGACAAACAGAAGGTTCCTTGCGCTTCTTGATGTTTGTTCAGCGGGGATTGAGGGGTCGGGCTTGACAAGGAAAACTGGTCCCGGCAGACGTTAGGCCCGAGATGTCAGACAAACAGGGATATCAAAGCCCAGTTGGACTGAGATTGATGGCAACCGTCCCGTTTGCCCAGAGCTTTGGGATTTGGGAGGCGAGAGATTATCTCGGATGGTAAGTGCGTTGGGAGCTGTTACGAACCAAATGGACGAAATGGAACTTTGGGCAGGAGCGGGTCTTAGATCGCACCTAGGCTTGCTTAGCTGTTGCTCGGCTGACCAAGCTCGAATGCTGGCGTTCCAGAAGCTCGATAACCGATGCGAGGTTCCAAACAAGCCAAGGCTGGAACGGGGATACCAAGGAGACAAATCGTAGCTGGTGGCCAAGACGATAGCGGCGTATGTACGTACGAAGTATATACTTCTCGTCGTCGCGATAAAACTAACCTCGGAAATAATGTAGGAGGAAGTTAGCCTTGGTGGGGGGAGGCGATGAGGCGATGATGCCGTTTGTTAGGATGTTCCTTCTAGGGTTATCGTTGTCGGTCGGGAATTCAGGAATTTCAGGAATTCAAACGCAGTGTAGGAACGGACCACGCTGATGTCAATAAGCAGTAGAAAAATAAAAACAAGGAAAGATGAAAGGAGTAGGAAGGTGAACGGTTGATTTAGTATTGTGGGTGAGGCGGATCAGAAGGCCTCAGTACATTGATCAATAGTTCAATGTTGTCGGGTTTTGTATTAGAGTGTTGCAAACCAGGCCAAGTCATCTGCGGGAGAGGATGGCGACTTTCTCGTACTGTCCTAGACCAGGTACTCGTTCACGGAAATAAGGTAGGCGCGGTACGACAAGCTCCAAGTCAAGGAATTCTCTCGCGCCCTGGAACAAAGACGGGAAGTTCCACGGTCAATTACGGCAAAGGCCACGGCACAATAACAAGTTGCAACTAAAGGCTCAGCTCCGATCTCGAACAGTGAAATCGGGATTAGGTAAGGCGACAGAACCGGCCACGTCTCGCAATATCAGGCTCACCGATCTCGTGGCTGTTTCGCCACAGGTACATCTTTAAGATTCTCTTGGAATCCATCTGGGTCTTCACACGTCAGTGGCCTTTGATGGGAAGAGCTTACAAGGTCACTTCCTTACTGAGATCCTTACGTTGATAGTTTATATGCTTCGTATGAATGGCGGCAGCTAACCTTTACTCCACCAAGTTAGTCCCATCCCCATGTATTTGATGCACGTTTATGCACCCTTGACACTTCGATATCTCCACGTGTTTACATCCCGTGAAAACACAGTTGTGCTTTCCGAAACCCTCGACCGGGTCCTCTAGAGAGCACCCTACGTGACTCGCTTCAGTTTGCTATACATCGGGTGTTGCCTATTCATCGAGACTATCTAACTTTTCTATTCGCCGTCAGCTTATTCCTCCACCGAGGCCGAAAAGTTGAGGGACGCGCTCATATGAATGAGGGGCAGAAACAATCGGGGAACTATGCCCTGCGCAACTCGAACCAACAATCCCATCAGAGTGGATTTAAACGCTTCCATCTCCATTTTGTAGTCCGTCTAATGACACAGATGAATGCAGTGTGTGGGCTCTGGGAATCAAGTGAAGAAGATGACGTATTAAGACAGACAACCGCCACTTATGTTCCCATGTCGTGCGCCATTCATATATCATGTACCTCGGTATACACGGACAGGTGGCACATATTCGCCCCCATCACCAGATAGGAAAAGCAGAGCCCCAGAGGCGAGAGAGGAGAGAGATCTCAAACTCAACGCAACAAAATTTAACCCTAGACAGGGAAAAAGAAAATAGATCACCTCTTCCGCGCATTCCTGAGCAAAAATGCACCCACAGCGCCAGCCGCAACAGCAACACCGCCCATTATCGCCACGCCGACGAGACCCTCCCGAGTGACGCGGTCGTCTATCAACGTCTGTAGATTCGAGGCCTGGAGGTTTGCGGGCTCCTTGTCGAGGAGGATGTCGTTATATCGTCTCGCCTCGCCGTAGTTGCCGAGCTTGTAGTTACCGAGGGCTAGGTAGTAGAGGCATTCGCGACGGCGTTCGGGAGCAACGCGGAAGATGTCGGAGAGGAGACGGACGCCGAGTTGCTGGTCGGCTCGCGATTGGGATTTTACGAGACCCTAGTGATCCAAATGGTTTTAGAAATTGTGACGAAGCCGAGTGACAGGTTAATATGGGGAGTATCCGTACCCAGGCATAGTTGAACTTGGTCTGTACGCTCACCATCTCACCCTCCTTCTCGAACTGATCGCGGAGGACCCGGAGCTCCGACTCCTTCAGTGGACTAGGAAAGTAGTGTTAGCTGTCGACCGAGGGTCAAGGTGAGCACTGTGACTTACGTCTCGGCATCCAGGGCGTCTACTCAAAGCGTTAGCACTCTCACCAGGCAAACAACAACAGCAGAAAAGAAAATGCCTCGATAGCTAGAGCAGAAACTCACATGGTAGCTCGTCACCACCCATTTTCGGATTCGTTTCGGATTCTGAAGATTACGTTGGTGATGTAATAAAGTCAGGTCAGGAGAGATTCGTTGCGAATGCAAAATTGCAGCTCCGGAAATACACGAATAAAGTAAGAAACAAGGGAAGTATGGAAGTGGAATGTCTCTGCTGCTGCTCGATCCGGAGTCGATTTATCGAGGCACGTCAGGCATTTATTTGTCTCGACTCTCTTTGTCTCTTTGAATCAAACACTTGCGCGGCAGAGGCAAAAAGACTGAGTACTTCGTAGGCAGGTGAAAAAAAGCTTGGGCCACTACTGCGCGTGATGACGAAGAGCGGCTTAGCAAGTGGCCATACGGAACTAAGATCTTAGACACTTAACCCTCGGAACTCAGAGTCTGGGCAGCCTCGTGGGGCTCTGCCGCCTGTAATCGATTGTCGTCTGGGCGACGCAGCAATGTTTGGACCGTTGCCTATTTAGGACATTGGTTGGTTGAATTGATGTTTCCACACTCCACTACGCCACGAAGAATCCACCACACACGATCGCATTGTTAACTCTTCTCAACTTTTTGGGTTTGTAATTATCAACATTGAATCCTCCCCACAGCCCGGTCGTCTATAAGAACAATTGAAGCGGAAACTTCCCTACTAAAAACGCGACAGCCGATCCCCCATTCACGCAGCCAAAGCGACGCCCATCCAAGATGCTTCTCTCAGAGGATCCCGCGACGGTACGCAACCCCATCATCATGATCGGAAAGTTGTAAACTAACGTGTCGCGACTCCCACAGCTCATCGAGCACACGATCAAAAACTTCAACATCGCCCCCGACAAACAAGCCGTATCGCGCATCAACGAATCCCTTTCCACACTCGGCCAAGCTCGAGAACTCCGTGCAAAGGAAGCCGAAGATGCGATAAGACGTAAGATAAACACCGGGAAAAATCTACAGGAAAAAGCCAGTCGTTCCTTTTTCTGACAAAATAAATCCCTAGGTCTTGCACGCTCCCTCAAGACGAAACACTCCCAACACGAAGAACTAGTCTCCTCCCATTCCTCAACCGACCACGCCTCGGAAATCGCCCGCCTCGATACCCAGAAATTCCGCACAGCAAAGGCCGCCTCCGACGCCGAGATGGAAACCGAACGTCTCGCCCTTCAAGCCGCCGACCTCGCCGCCCGCCTCCAGGAACTCGAGCTCCAGGGTGTCGACGGCGGAGAGAGCGCGAGGAGGCGGGATCCCATCGACGACGAGGTTCTGCTGAGGCTCAAGGTGTATAGGAGCCTGGGTATCGAGGTCGAGAGGGACGAGAAGGATGGGGAGTTCACGAAGGCTATCATTAGGAATGATAGGAAGGGTGATGTGCACGTCGTCAACATGGACAAGAAGTTCTCGAGGTTCTTTTACGCCAACTACTTCTGGCAGACGGTTTAAGTTATGGATGTTTCGGGGAAAGGCCGGTTATGTCTTGTTATGAGGTTTAAAGGGGCTAGGCTGCGATCGGACTTGAGGCTTTCTGGCGGTGCAAGGCGTTGCTGGATGGGTCTTGCTAGGATATCAAATTCTTTAACATGATGCGGTAATGATTCTTGACAAACTGATGACAGTCTCTACGGCCAGCGCGTGCCATGCATACCCCCACGAGCAAGAAAGAAAAAAAAGGAAAACCGAAAAAAAAGCAACTTTGACATTTTCCCCAGTCCATACAAGAGGTAGCCTAATGCTGTCCGGTCGGGTCGGTCTGAGAAGGCAAAGGGGGTTCGTGGAAAGGTCAAGTGATACACGGTAATGAAAAAGAGCAGAGAGGTCCTTTTCCTCCATCGCCCGCGATAGTATCCTACACTAGTATACACTTCTAACATATGTAGTCCCATCGCATGTTCCAATTTGCGAGTCTCCATCCAAAATATGCAGGTCATGAAGCGCACGAGCATCTCGAACCTTATTGGACCCAGAATCATAACTCCGTTCGACTTTTCCCGTTTCCCTTGTTGATTTTGGTAATCTGATGTCATGTTGCGAAAAGAAGTTGAGGAGGAGATTCCGTCATAATTTTCTCGCCAATTTGGGGGAGGCAGCAGAGTCAAAGAAGCCCTGTTCATCCTCTAAGGAGGTGAAAGTGGGCGGTAGCGAAGGGGGTGTGCGAGCCTTGGAGCTATTTGGTGACACCTTTCGACGCTCTCCAGGACTTCTTGTCCTCGCCCTCTTCAAAAGTAGGCCCTCTTTGGTTGAGGGCGCCAGCCCTGCGGATAATGTCCGCTGATGGTGGGGTCTTCCATAATAGTATTGATGGTGCTTGTCGGGCAACTCCATCCTCGAGTGGATGTTAGTCCACAGGTCGTCATCATCGCCGCTCGCTCTCCATCCACCAACACCTTCAAAATCTCTAACCAATCCAATGCTCGGTGCTATTCCCAGACCCTTCTCATAGCCTGAGTTGGGTGCCTCGACGGAGATACCACTTGCCGTACTTAAACGACGCCTCCTCCGCCTGCCAGGAGACGACGCGGGAGAAACATGGGAGCTTCCGACTTGGGAATACATGGTATATTCCAGCCGTCTTCGAGAAAACAGTGTGCCGAAAATGTAGCTGGGGACGAAAGAAATGATAACGTCGAGGTAGACAATCATCACACGGAAGAGGAGAACAGAGAAGGCGAAAGTTGTCGTAAGTCCGGCAAAGATGGCAAGAGGAATGGTAACAATAGATAGGAAAGGTATTATCAACAGCCGCAGGGGATTGAAGGAAGCCATGGTGAAGAGGGTGATTAGTTGTCGCAAGAACAATTCGAGGCGATAATCCGAGGAGTGCGGAGTGGATGTGATGCGTTGTGTTCGCTCACATTGTCGGGCGCAAGCCCGCTTGGAGTAGCGCAATCGATCAAAAGAAAATGTGCTCAGGCGGCCGTCCCTTAGGTCGCTCGCGAACTCGAATTTATCAAGGTATGGGCAATATAGACAATGGCTGGTGCTGGCCTCGTCATAATATACGGGGTCGAGCTCCCCGTTAAGTCGGCCTTAGGAAGATGTGAGAGGGGTGGAGTTTGCAAGTATGGAGGGGCACAAGATAAAGCATTCTCCCCTCATTGACGAGCGAAGTCCGGGAGCCGACGTCAACAGGCACGATAAGCATAAAGGAGGGGGGACAACAGAAACAACACAATACAAAGTATTGAACAGACGAAGAATGCGGGACGAGGAGGGACGAGGGAACATCGAACATTATTAGTCAAAGCCAAACTCAGAATCGCACGGTGTGTGGCCGGAAGGTTTTGGCAGGCAGAAGGGGGAATCCAATCACATGTGTTTTGACCGTGGTAAGTGAGATCGACGAACAAGAATCAGGTCACCAAGCTCTCCAAGCTTCACCCACGCCTGTGTGTCGCCATTTCCGCGGGGTACAGCAACATCAATTTCAAGCTCGAGGATTCAATTGTTATGAAGTACTGTATAACTATCAATTGATCCGACGAGTTGTTAATCGAGCAATGTTTCCACATTGTGTACAATTGTACCCACTCCATTATCATCACCTTTGTATATCAACATTAAATTGAAAACAACCAAGGTACGCAACGGCGCAGGGAGCGATCAGAGCATATACTGGATCTAACAGAACCTACAGACTCTGACAAGCTCGTACTTTCTGGGGTAATCAGTGTCAGAGCTGCATTGTTCGAGGTTCCCAATACAAACAATAAGTAAGCTTCGGTGACTCAAGCCGTCCCCACCAACTCTAAATCTGTTTGCTTCATTGCTCGTGAGAAATAGAGCTTAATGACCTCAACGTGGCTTCCCCTTTTGAGACACTACCTTCAGTCAAGTGCTAACCAACTTGGAAAGAATCTTCTAGCCCCCTTATCTGCCTTTGCCGAATGCGTAGAGCTTATGTCTTGGCTGAACTCAAAACCATCCGTAAATGAGCACTGCTATTATTGATGGTGCTTACGGGCAAGGACCCTGCAATTGTGCAATTGTGTAGGTCTGGAGACGATGGAGGCGACGAAGGCGATGGAGGCGATGGGGTCGAGATTGCTGCATTGTGCCTGCCTGAGATGAAGTCGGCAATGAGTTGTGGAAGGTGCGAATGCCTGCCGGGAAACAAGGGGTGGGTGCTTGCCTTAGAGTCAGCCATCACATGCATCATCGTATCTATTTCACCATTATTCCACTGCCATTGCGTTTTTTGCTCCAGTCCGATGGATCTAAAACAAACTGGCGCAACCGATTATGACATATCTACCCACAAGGCCAGGGCACTTGACGATACCGCCATTACCAACCTATTGGATCGCGAGCCGCAGCAACTGCACCTATTCGCTAACATCGTTGTAACTTTCTAGGATTGCAAGAGAACGACCACGAAGAGATCTCGTTATGGCGCCCTCGCTATCCCTCCTACAGGGCATGGGCACGGAGCTTGTCCCCCAACCACTCTTGAGATCTTGGATCCAACAGGGCTGTGCAGAACTGCTTCCGACCTTACATAGGATCAAAGTCGCCCCTGACAGTAGTCCTCCAAGGACAGCCCTTTACTGGAGACGAACGCGACTATGACACATCCATACACCCAACCCACTTTGACACGCCAGCTGTCCTCCAATACCTTGGCTTTGACCAAAAGCGCTCACTCGAACTCTACCAAGCGTGGACAGAGTCTGTCCAAGACGGCTTGACCTATATTGGCCTCGAGGATTATGCAATCGGCTGCATATGCAGTGGGATTACCTCTATTAGCAACGAAGATGAAGAATGGCAACTCCAGCTTTCCACCCTGGGGTTTTCGAACACATTCATCCTTTGGCAGCTTGATGACGACGTCCGCCGAGTCAGGGCCATGTCAACGATGGAGGAATGGTTGGAGCAAATCCCCCAGGCCCGCGTTTCAGCCCTCATCAAATTTCACTCCATATGCCGACAAGCAGCAACAGGCTCCCAGGCCAAGACCGATGAAGGTGAATCAGGCCCAATCCAACTACCAACCCAAAAGACACAGGGTATCCCACCACACGTCAACAAAGACGGCTCAATCTCAGCCGTTCTTAGTGTTCAGCAAGTGATGGGCGAGCAGAGTGGCGGCATCCCTGGCTTCCTGTCTTTGTACAAGGGATGTCGATTCGTCACTGCCGGGGAGTTCATGCGCGAGAACCCCTCCATTGAAACGGGGCTGTACCGAGCAACAGCTTCAGCTTGTGGTGACTTTAGCATAGCCAACGCACTATGTTTAACTACTCAGAGATGGGTGGCGATCTATCACGCAAGAGGATACCTGCGAGGCGCACGGACGGCATCCACCGAACCTCCAGTTATCCTTCAACTTCTCATCCCTTAACGCAGGGTTTCTGAAAAACCATATCAGCCACATCCCGTACGGCGATCTCTGGATGCAGCTTGTCTGGGCGTGCAGAAGAAATACCTCTCGGGAACATTGACCGGTTGATATCCACGGAAAGTTTAGGAATAATCTCGTGGTGACCGGTCCAATTTGCGGTAAACACACGCGGGCGTTCTCAGAACCTGATTTGACCTGGAGCGCTCTTCAAAACTCTTGGGTACTGAGGAACAAGGAGGGGGAGATCTCCAGTCAACACGTTATCGGCATCGGCCTGATTCCTTCGCTATCCGAATGCATCCCACCCTATCACACAGCTATCATAGGGCGTAAGGACTGGTCTAAATGGGACGGGAATGCCGCCTGACATGCACATTGCGTGTTCTCAGCATTGCGTCCCGTTGACCTACGGACCCGACGCCTGCCAGTTCATGCAAGAGCATCGCAGCGGCTTCCCGTAGGAAGTGGTTCATGACCATTGGCCACCACTTGTTTCCTTCAAGGTTTTTCAAGTATGATGTTGCGGTCAGAGCCGCACTAATAGGTCTCTCCGAGATGACGTTCCTGAGGTGATCCACCCAGCGGTAAATGTCAAAGCTGCCCACGCGAAAATGTGAAAGCGCGTAGAGTAAGTTTACCACCTCGTCCCCCCAAACATTAGGTCCTTTACCCACCATTTATTGATAGGGGCTAACTATACATTGAATAAGATCAAGAGCATGCGACGGAAAAGAGCAAACGGGACCTCCCACGAGGATATCTTAGTACAGTCAAGGGTGATCCAGGAGTCATTCGGACTACTGCGGAGTACGGTGAGCTAGAACTGCCTGGGAAGAACTAGGAAAACATCACCATAAAAACCACGGTTTCTTCTATGTATCTAGCTGTTTCTCTGGACTCTTCAGTAGCCAAGTCAAGTACTACTACGCCCCTACACTCGAATACGCACTTCCTATTACATCTTGTAGATACTGTTTGACTGCTTTATTTCTTACGCAGGTACCCAGACGACACAGCTGCTCTTCCTGAACAGCCAAAAAAAAGAAGAACAGACTGAAAAATTAATTCTTAGAGGACGGCCCACCGTGTAACTATCAGTAGTCTAATGATGATAAAGCTCAGTTGAATATCAAGCCTCGTCCCTGTCCCACTGTGACCACACACTCTTCTCAATGACCCTGGTGTGACCAGGGGGAATAACCGAAGCCAGCGAAGGGAGTAATGAGCGACCAACAACATGCTGGCTCGACCGGTCACCGACTCCGTTCTTCATCACCCATTCCTCTGTAATGTCCTCCCATTTTAACGAAGAGACGAATTCCTTGTTCGAGACGCCACAGATAGGGCCAGCAACAACAAGGCTATTCCTAATCTTGCCTTTGACCGCTGGTGGCCAATCTGACTTGCTCAGTTGACGCCGACATGCCCAAATTACCTGATTCCACGCACTTGAGTATGGTATTGTGCTGATTTGTTGCTTCTCAAACCATGCATTGGGAACGAGTAACTGCAAAACAACCGGTGACTCTGAGTAAACCTCCCCTACGGCACGTTGAATCCCTCGCGCGTAGTGGACCGCAACCCATTTTTGAGTCGTGAGATATAGAGCGCTCCCCGGACTGAAATCTCCACATGTGTGGGATCGAATGCGATCAAGGCCATCGGCGACATCTGGAATGTCGGATAAGAAGTCACGCACGACTTCAAAACGGCAGCCTTTAAATAGAGAGAGAAACCCAGGAATGCCGTTATTCTCATCGCCTAAAACGTCTTGAACGCTAACACAAGGCGAGATTGTTCCATCTTCCCTGATCTCCTGTTGGATTTCCCCTTGGCCCGCAGGTCCTTGCTGAGAGGGTTGTTGGGCGGGTTTAGATGAACTGCCTTTCTGGCCGTGTCCACTACTCTTGGTGCCCCGAGACCATGCATAGCAGATTTTGTCAAGGTTGTGGAGCCCCCAAAGCCTACCTTGTAAGATTTCCCAAATCCAGGCGTCCATTGTAGATGACGCACGCACTTTCCTGACGTCGTCATTCATTTGTCTCTGGATTGTTGCCTCTGACAGACCTAGGGACTCCATATATGCTCGCCAGTCACTGTCGGCGTTGCTAAGGGCTGGCGTCGCCCCAATTGTGGCCTCGATGGCGTACTCGCACAGCGTGAAGTTTGTGGGGCCATCCTCAACGGTCTGGTGATATGCATGCAAGAGTTCCAAGGACCGGCTCTTCGAAAAGCCGACATACTCGAGGACCGCGGCGGTATTCCAGTGAGTAGGAAACACCAAGTCACCATAATCATCGTCACATCCAGTATACTCCCGATCTGCAAACGCAAGCATTGCCATGAGGTCGACCTGAACTTGTTGATCAGGTAGTAGTCGCGCCTTTCCCTGCTCGATCCATTGCTGGATGAGCGCGGGAGGGAAGATAGCAGGGGTCGCCATAAAAGGCAAGGAGAGAACAGGCAAGATGCGCGTCTCGCTTGTTGGACGCTTCCTGTGGCGCCTAGCATCAAGTTGGATGATGTCAGTAGTGTAGTGGAAAGGGGCTAGACAGGATATACTAACGAGTTTTCTGGAGACACCTCTCTATTTTGCTCCCTTCGTCGAAAGTCGCCTTCGGACCGGCGGTGTTCAATGCGGCTCTAACGATCAAACTGGACGGTCTTGACCTCGAAGAGGGTTGTGGAGTCTAGGCTGAGGAGTGGTATAGTATTGAGATCGGGATCCGGCGCAGAGTCTGATGAAATAGACATCGACATTGTCAATTCTGATGATAGACTCTGAAAGAGTTTCTTGTTTCTGATAGTAAAGGTAGATTGCGTCGTAATAGCAATTAAATTGGAAGAGCGTCTGTCAAGGAAGGAAGAGGAATTATTTGTATTTAACTCATCGTCCACACAGTGGTCCATATCGACGTCCAGAGTTAGCCCAGAAATCTGCCGAATAGTTGATAAATTTCTAGTGTTAGTTTTAGGAAACTAAGACCAAGGCTATAAACCTTAATATTATAATGATACTCGCAGTCTGCCCCTCACTACAATTGTAGACCACGAACTACGAAATTCGAAATTGTGCCCCGCACCCCAGTAAAGCCGTCAAGTGCTTCTTTGACACCACCATCGCCATCTCGCCAGTATGCCTTTGTAATCGATTCGAGCTACGAAGTACTAATAACCCCACCTCAACTAGGTCGTTGCCTGTTGCTTCAATGTTATTGCTCACACCCCATCAACGTGCCATCAACCCTTAATTGAACCTTGAGCTTCAGGGGCTCCCCCTCCTGCCTTCAGAACGCTGCAGCAGCAGCAACTACCACTGGGTCCCCGGCTACCCAAGCAACCTCACCATACTTCTCCTAAACAGCCTCAACAGTCTTTTCCCAATCCAATCAGGTCTCTTTAGGCAGGGCTGAATACCAAGCCTTAGCAGCCCCCTTCAGGCCAGATCGAAACACCTATCTCTTCAGCAGCATCTTCTATCCCATCTCTACTAGCGTCAACACCACCACAGTAGCTTCCACGTAATCAAGGTAATCACCAATATCTTCTCTAGGGCCCCCAGTAAAGGTCATCAGGGCAAGTATAACCGACATTGCTTCCTCAGGGTTAGGCCCTTATCCATGATCGCTCAATTCTTTCAATAACTCATCCTTCATAACCTGCTCGCAGAGGTGCTTCAAGTCCCTCTCTACTTCCATCAGAGAGGAGGATGAGGATTCAGCGGGTACCAGTGTCGAAGGGGAGGTGCTCTTCTTCCTGATCATCAATCAAAGGAGGAAAAAAAGGGCACTCTTCTAATAATTAGGGTAGATATTAAGCTAATTACAGGGTCAATTAAGTAGATCTGATGAAAAGAGACAGGATTCAATAATAACAGTAATAGAATTAGGTGGATGGATGGCACACCACCTGATCTGTATAGAAGCACCAATTTGTAGCCCTCCAATCAGGACTCAAAGATCTGAAACAGAACAGAAAGAAGGAAGAAACAGATCCAACTCAGGAGATCCAGAGAAGAAACAGTCGAAATTTGATAGAATCAGACAACACAATCAGTCACTTCGATGAAACCAAATCCGAACTTGATTACTCGTGTATTCCATGGTATTGTAAAGTCTAGGAATTCTGCCTTCTGCCTCCTCCCCAGATAATATCTGATCAAGGGGGGGTTCTTAGTAATCAGGCTAATAAGCTTCAAATAATACACGCTGGCTGCGTACAGTGGACTTCACTTCCGCATTTCCGCCCTACAAGAACAGTATTCGCCATAGAAGGGTCTGGTTTCTCCCAAGTCCGTACTCTATACGCCCCCCATAGTGAGAAGTCGCCTTGCAGGGCTGAAGCCAAATCTAAAGAAAGTCATGTGTGGAGGAGAGCATCATGCTCCCAGCCAGGACTCCGGCTCTTCTCCGACCTCCCCCTTCCCCTGGGAAGCCGGGGTGATCGACGCCCACTGCCATCCCACAGACACCATGAGCTCCATAGCCAGTATCCCCACCATGAGCACGCGACTTCTCGCCATCATGGCCACCCGGTCCCAAGACCAGGATCTCGTCGGCGAAGTCGCCTCCAAACACGGCCTCAAGCAACCCTCAGAGCTACCATCATCGTACAGTGACCCTTCTTCAAGATACGTCATACCCGCTTTCGGCTGGCACCCGTGGTTCGCCCACCAACTCTATCACGATGACGACCCCTCGGCGGCAAATGTGCCCGGCCCCGACGCTTCCCCCGAGGCGATACAGGAGTTCAAAATGAAGCATTACTCTGCCATACTTACCCCTCCCCCGAAAGGTCCCGACTTCATCTCCCAACTACCCACCCCGACCCCGCTCGCCTCCTTCCTAAACGCCACCCGATCCCGCGTCAAATCCCACCCCGTAGCCTTAATTGGCGAAATCGGCATCGACAAAGCCTTCCGCCTCCCGGAAAAGTGGCCCGACGGCACGGCCCCTCAAAACCGAGACGCTTCGCTCACCACTCCCGGCGGCAGGGAAGGTCGCCGCCTCAGCCCCCACACTGTCTCGATCCCCCACCAGATCGCCGTCCTGCAAGCCCAGCTCAGGCTGGCGGGTGAGCTCCAGGTTCCCGTGAGCGTGCACGGCGTGCAGGCCCATGGCGTGCTCTACGATGCCATCTCCGCATTATGGAAAGGTCACGAGAAGGACGTGCTGAGTAAACGTGAGAGGAGGAGGGTTGCGCCCAACGCAGAGGACTGGTGGTCTACCAGCGACGAATCTGAATTTTCCAACGACGAAGAAAATGACGAATACTATCAAAAGATGCGAGCCCTGAGGGAAAAGAAGAAGGAGGAGAGAAAGGCTGCGAGCAAGCCTTTCCCGCCGAGGATATGTCTCCACTCCTTCAGCGGATCTGTCGAGGTCTTGAAGCGCTACGTGAAACCGCAGGTCCCAGCCGACGTCTACTTTTCCCTCTCCACCGCCGTCAACCTGGGCGCTCCTTCGGCACACGCCAAGTTCGCCGAGGTGCTGGCCGCTATCCCGGATGATAGGTTGTTGGTCGAGAGTGACCTGCACGCCGCTGGTCCTGACATGGACGCTGCTCTGGAGGACATCTACCGTAGAGTGTGTGAGGCCAAGGGGTGGGAGCTAAAGGATGGTGTGGAGAGAATAGCTCGGAATTTCAAGGCGTTTGTATTCGGAAAATGAAGCCACGCACGCCTATGACGAGACGAATCATGCAGTTCGACGATTATATTATTACATAGAAAAATAACCGTTGATGGAACGGGGTCCATAGAGGGAGGGTTTAAAAAATAAAAAATAAAAAATAAAAAAAATGCCAGCCTTAAAACGCCATCAAGAGCCCATTCCCAATGGTCCAGTTACGTGGAAGCCTCCCCTCCCTTCATATCCGGAACGCCAGAGAAAAGAAAATCATAACTCAAGAAGATGTTCCCTCGCCTCCTAACCATATCCATTACCTACGCCAGCACAGTTCGTTCCCTATTCCCAGATTCCCGTCTCTTTCCCTAAGACCAAACCAAGTTGTGTGTTCCAGCCCCGCCCATTACGGCTTACGATATCCTAATTCGTCGGCACTACTCCTCGCCGTCGAGGTCCCGTACCCCGGTGAATACGGCGTCATTCCCTGACCTCGTCGAAAACCGTCCGAAATGGCGGGCATGGCCGACGAGCCTTCCTCCTCGGACTCGTACGCGGGCGGTAGATCGTGGTGCATGGCGGGGTAGGAGTACTCGGCAAAGCCGGCAGATTCTCGCATCGAACCCCGACGCCCACGCATGCTGGTCAACAACGGGTCGAGTTCGCGGTCTACTACGGCTGTTTCTCTCATGGCGTCGCCACCAGCTACGAGGTTATCAACCATGGCGACGGCCGCACGCAGTTGAGCCAGGTCCTGCTCCATCGTGTTCGACGCATCGGATTGTGACCGCCGCGTACGTTGCTGCATTTCTCCGGTCGGTTCGGGCACGTCCGGAATGTCGACCTGCTGGTAATGTTGTTGATGCTGCTGTTGCTGTTGCTGCTGCTGTTGCTCCATGTCGGTACAGCGCTGGTTGGGAAGACCGGGAATCAGGCGGCGGACGAAGGCGAGGGCGGCTTCCCTACGCCGACGGTGGCGCTCTAGTCGTCGACGTCTACGCTCTTGGTGGAACTCGGCAATGCGGCGTCTGTAGCGGACGGCGCAGAAAATCGAGGCCACGATCATCATGAAGACTAGAGCGGGCATGAGGCTATCCGTAGGCGACGAATTGCTCTAGGTTTTTGCTTTGCGATTAGCTTGGTGATATTGGTATGTATGGATTTTGGATTGTAATCTAGAACTTACCCTGCCATCCGACTGAATGGGTTTCGTTCCGCCCTTCTTCGAATCAGGTTCAGAGTCACCCGGCTTGCCGTTTCCAATGCCGCCGTCATCGCCAGGTATTTGTGTAGAGTTGTCGGGGTTAGAAGGCGAGTCATCGCCAAGAGGAGGAGTGATGGGAAGAGGCGGCAGGGTCGAGTCATCCGACGGAGTCTTGGGGAGATGGCTGGTAGAGTCGTCGGGAGAACAAGGACAGAATAGAGGGCGCCAGGATGGCCGCCTCAAGGGAATGTGTAAACGAGTGCTACTTTCGTTGGAGCCCTCGCCATCACCGTGTAGGGATGTTTGATTAGGAGACTTGAACGCAGAGTCCGAGTCGGAGCCCACAACATTGGAATAGGCTTTGGCAGCTATGCCGGCAACTCGATCGAGGAAGTGCTTCATGATGCACCTAACTTTCCCTCGGCACGAAGACGCATTGCCCGACTCGGATTGCCTAACGAAGGATTCCAATTCTTTAATCCGATGGGCGATTTCGCGTTGTTGATAGCGGAGGAGCTGAATTTCCTCGATAGCGGCTTGGACCTCGCTGTCTGGGTCATCGTTTTCACTTGCGGGAGCCCAGAAATCTCTTTGAGTCGAACTTATATCAAGGATTGGGGCACTGGTGGCCTGCCCATCCACACTAAGAATCGCAACGGGACTAGACTGATGGAAGTTTACGGTGAATATTACATCTTCGAGATGCGTGCCGTCGATGGAGTCAATCTGGATGGTGATGCTTTCCCGGACCGGCTTATCGTCGACGTCGATACACTGGAGCACCCAGTTGGTAATTACTTCGGAACCATAATCTTCGAAGATCGTTTCGCGACCGGAATGTCCGGCGAGGGTGGCCAGGGACTGGCCGTTGAGCTGGATGTTGGAGAGCCCGCATGGTTTATCGGATTCGAAGAGGGTGAAGAGGAGAGTCTACACAGAAGAAAAGAACGGCACAGGTTTCAGAACTCGAGGCACAAACACGGGCATCACAGACAAGACAACAACAATACGGAAAGGGGCCGACGTACCAGTTCCCGATCGAATCCATAGTCGCCGAGGTCGAGGGGGATAAGAGCAGTTGCGGTCTCTAATAAATGGCAATGAGATTTCAATGTTTTATTTCGGATCGGAGCACCAAGCAGCCTCTTCTTCTTCTTCTTCCTCCCAATCCACGTACTCGAGGAACATCACCAACGACAAGATCCAAAATAAAATCGTGATGGTTAAACTCACCCTGAGCATTCACATATCCAAGACCGCTCAGCACAGGCAATACTGCCAGAGCAGTTCCGGTGAGGCCGCGCATTCCGGCATACCTATTGCCCATCCAGGGCCACCACGTCTTTGATCAATCACGAGGGGAGAATCGGGAGTGGAGGAGTGAAGGCAAGAAATCCAGGCTAACAATCCCGATCGTGCGGGCCAAGACAGGTAAAACGAAAAAGCGCGCAAAGCTCCAAAAATAGGGGCGGAGGGAGCAAACTCTCAAAGTGCCCCCAAAGTTGGACTGTCTGCCCGATTACGAAGGCAGCCGAAGAGCTCGACCAAGAGCGGAGGAGCAAACGGTAGGGCAGGTGTCTTGTCGGACAAAATTGTCAAATCGCGAGGAATCCGGCGCTGGGGCTCGCGGGGGTGAAGAAAATGGTTGCCTGTTTGAATTTTGAATTCTGGTGTTTAAAGTTGGAGACGGGAGATGTGTACATTCGTGCTCACAATTCCTGCGAAGGATTGATTGCGTCTGGTTCTTTCCAAAGTCGCGTAAAATGGGGGAAAACGGGGTCGGCATCTGTGGCCAAGACCAAGACTGCTCCGCCCCCCTCCTCTCATTGATTTCTCCCTCCTCTCTCCCTCTCCCCCTCTTGCCTCCCCTCGTCAGTGCTTCCACCCGCTCCTCACCTCACCTCACCTTATGTGTGTGACCTTCTGGGCCAACTTTTGGTGACGTCCCTCACAATTTTCCCACATTTTCCCTTTCCCTCTTAACTGCATTTGTCCGTGCCAATGCAGGCCAGGGTTCTGGGCAGGTTATCGTCCAATGGGCGTCGATTGATCCGTGGGCTGACGAGTCTCGCATCCAATACGAAGAACCCGTCTGCCAAACGCCCCCGCCCACGACTTGACTCAAAAGTTCCAGACCTTGCAAAGTGGTAGAGCCAGTGACAACGGCAGTGTCGAATAATAGAGGCATTGTGGTGGGCAGAACACTGTCGACGGTGTCCTGATCCAGCGTCATCACGCCTCACCGGCCCCCAATCGAGCACGCCAGAACACACATAACTAAACTATTGGGCTATTCTCTCGGCACGTCGGAACTGGCAGAAAACATCAACTCACTAAACTAGTTTACTTCACAAACTATTTCCTAGCTGGCAATACACGATGTAAACTAAGATTACTCTTTGACTGTTTGAATGGGGGATATAGTCAAGGTGGTCACACGTGGGCTCTCAAGCATTCAAGCTTAAAGCTCTGCCCCATCCCGTTGCACGCCCACGCACTCCACCACCTGGTCATTGGCGTCATACCTTTGCAAGCTAAAACGATTAATATGGTCGGAACTTGTCGTCATTCAATCCGCCGGATTCGACCAACACAAAGGAGCTAGAACTGCCCATGCCCAGCGGAGAGTTTCAGACCCAAAGGAAGGCTGCGTTGGAGTTCTTGTGAGAGCCTCGTGCAACATGTGGACTGCAATATTTCTAGAGATACAGTCGGTCGGACTTTACACACGACTTTGCCTGGTCGAGGGAAAGCTGCACTTGCAAACCGCGAGTGGTTGAGAAACTCGATCGCCTGCCTGACACTCTTTCGTCAAAGGAAACCATATCCCCCAATACACTAAATTATTTAGACAAGAGGAACCTACTACAACTACGACGCCAGCAAGAAGTCGTCCTTCTATTTGTTTATTAACCGGAAGCTCCCCACGCAAGAAGGCTTAAGGTTAGCGTCAAGGCGGACTCATCTGTTGGCATGGTTGAGCGCATTTGAGAGATACATAGGCTCAGAAAGCCAACTTGCCCTCCCTTGGCTTACACCCACCAACCCCTGCGGCCAGACCCCATCCTTTCAGAATTTTGCCTAGATGTTGCCAACAGGATGTAATTTTCATGTCACTTGGACTTGAGCAATGCAACCTCCATGACTGCAACAAAGTGAAGCAGGTGACGACCTGATGGGCTGACAAGGACCATAAGAATATGCACCTTCCCACACAGGAAGAAAAGACAGAGAGGGAGAAGGGCTCGACGCTCAACTTCGATTTGTTCATTAATGACAGGCCCCTTTTGCTACGAAGGGGTGTGCTTATAAGCTAACCCTTTGGATCACTCACCTCGTCTCACGTCTAGTGCTAGCGGTCTAATATCCTCACCGGCTCGCCCAGCCGCGATATCAACTCACTGCGTTTGGCTTGTTTGTGTGGGGAATACCTGGCCCATGGGGGCATTCCATGGGGGCATTCCATGTGGACAGGGTCTCTGTAAAGGAACCATCATCGACTTCGATGAAACATGACACGCGAATTCCGCCGCAGGGGATCCGGGTTTGCAGGGTCTAAGAAAGGCTCTTTAAACATGGTCCGGCCAGATCTTCCGGGTGCCCCCGTCGCTAGTCCACTTATGTAGCGCTGACGACTCGATTCGAGACCGTCCCATATTTTATTCTTCTGTCCATACGTTTCGCCAATTTCTTTCTCCTAGAGCACCAGGCAGAGAGCGTGGCTCGGGCGGAGAGGTGGACGTCTGGGGAGGCGAAGGGAAAGCGAAAGGACTCCTCAGAATTGCGTGCGACATGCAGTAACCGCCCACTCTTACCCGAAGAAAGAAAAGTATTTTAGCGGTGTTTCTTGCGAGTGTCGCTTTGATATAGTGCCTGTATCATCTCGATTTAGCGTGCGATGTTTGTTGATAACATGCAAATTGTAGATGTGGCCGGCAGACATGATTTGGGAGGGAAAGGGGAGGGAAAGTCTTGGTGAACGAGATCCGATGATTTCAACGAAAACCCACACCGTCCCATCCCGCTTCGCAACCTCGGCGCTAAAGGTGCAAACTTCACCCCGAGCACATCAATACCTCAGTCAATCGCTCACAAACAAACCCCAGCGAGCCCAGCCCGAGAATCACCCAAGTTGCCGATAAATCAGTAATGAGACTACGGTAAACTCGACAAAAATAAACGGAGGTACTGCCCTATTATGTGCATCAGAAACCTCCCGAGCATGCCACTACGAGCCGTAATGCCCCCATCACAGCCGCTGCAAACGGCGCCCTGGCGTGCTCAGTTCCTCTCCCACCTCACCAAGCTCGCGCTTCCCGTATGTTCCTTCAGCACCATCCATGCCACTAGCAACAACAACGGCACCATCGCCGACGCATCCTCATCATTCCCGGTGGCCACCACGGCCACGACTTCGTGGGTGCCCCGTGTCAGAACCGTTGTCTTTCGCGGCATGTGGGGGACACTTCCGGAAAACGAAAATAACCCGGCCGAGAGGAACCCACGCATCTACGAGAGCGATTTTCTCTCGCTGACGACCGACGCAAGGATGGACAAGGCGCAGGAAATTTCGCTGGAGGGGGAAGAAGGCCCAGACGGCACGAGAGGCACGGGGGGAGGCGGTCCCTTCGAGGCCGTATTCTGGATTCCTGACGCGATGACGCAGTGGAGATTCAGCGGCAAGGCGTACCTGCTAGCACCCGACGTCGAGTCCGACGGTGAGGCGTCCGTGAGGGTACGGGAGACTCTACTGGAGCGCATGAGGCGGGTTGGAGATGGGTCGTTTAGCTGGGAGAGGGAAATTACAGGGCACTTTGGCAACATGAGCCCGCTGATGAGAGGATCTTTCAGGAACCCCCAGCCGGGACGTCCCGTGGCGGAGGGCACCGGAGGGGAAGGGCTCGGTCTAGGGCAGAAGGTAGAGGACCTCGGAGATGAGATTGCTAGGAAGAATTTTAGGGTCGTAGTGCTCGTGCCGGATGAGGTGGACAGGGTTGATCTCAGCGAGTTAGGCAAGGCGAGGAGATGGAGATATCGATATCTTGGTAAGGATGCGGATCCCACTTGGGAGACTACCGAGGTCTGGCCATGATCTAGGAAGGAGAAGGCGAGGCCCCGCGAAGTATACGAAGTACGGGAGAAAGAGGGGCAGAGAAGACGAGTGGTTTCATTTCATCTCGTTCCACGAGGTGATGAGAAATGCAGCGCCTTACTCTTTTTTTTTTTTCCCAAATGATGACTACAACGTTACGCTTATACATCGACAGATATCTCAACGAGATCTCGCCCGTGCCTTGCTCGAAGGAAGGCAGACGCCGCATGAGATGGGGCGAAGACGGGTCTAAATGGTACCTGAGACTACACTCCACCAAACGCCGAACCCCCGTTTCAAGTACGAGTGAGGTTAAAAAGCCGCATAAGTTACTGCAGGAGGACAGAAGCAGCAAACTTTCACCGTCTAATTGCCATGCAGTCATTCAGCTATCATCGACTGTCGGCCTTAGAGTCCCTCGTATATTACGGGGCCGCGATCAGGGACTTTGGTGGTTGGTTTCTCCAGGGGTGAATGTGAAAGAGGGTCTTCGGGGTCAGTCAAGTGCGCAGTAGAGGAGGCGGTTTTGGAATCATATGGGGTAATAAGAAAAAAAAGGCGTCCTTAAATTTGACATCCAGTTTGATGTTTACGAAAAGGAATGTGATGAGAGAAGCAATAGGAAGGTAATATTCGATGGCACACCAAGATGGGAAATGGAAGAAATTTCGAAGAAACCTGGTTGATGGTCTCCCGCATCTGTCCTGTCCGGAAGAGGCAGGATTGGCCAGGGCTCCACGTTGCAAGGGTCCCACGATGTGCTGGTAGCATCCTCGAGGGCTACACTTGCGGTGGAAAACGTGATGCACCAGCAAGAGAAAAGAGATTTAGTGTTTGATATTCCTACCGCCCGCCGCACAAGGAAGGCGGTGGGATTCCGTTCTGTGACCGAGAGCATCAAAGTATAGGAAGTGGGTAGGGCGTGTAATCTACGATTGCCAGCCATCAGCAGATCGAAAGGCTGGTCTAAAAACGAGATCAGAGATGGTGCTGGGAGCCCGCCAGCGGTGGGCCAATCCCTCGTAAGTGATCTACATAGCACGGAAACTGTAAAGGCCGCAGAAGCAAGGGTCCTGCTCAACCTGTCCTGTCTGTCATACTCATACATTGCCGGAGGCTGGTGGGAGGGTGAATTAGGGCAAGCTGAGCCGCGAAATGTTTTCTGACCTCAGCCCGTTTCTGCCGGTTTGCAAAGGGCGCACCAGGTGGCTAAC